ATACCATTCTCTTCTGGCCTATAGAGTTTCTGATGAGAAATCAGCCTTATGGGAGTTCCTTTGTAGGTAACAGTTTGCTTTTCTCTTGCTGCCTTTAAGATTCTCTCTTTGTCTTTAATTTTTGGCATTTTAATTATGATGTGTCTGAGTGTGGGCCTGTTTGTGTTCTTTTGCCAGGTCTCCTGGCTGCTTCTGTTCCAAGTTGCCCCCTAATACTCCACCCCCCGCAGCCTCTTCTCAGGCAACTCCAGTCTGCACCATCCTTCCTCCACCTAAGACTCTGGTAAGTGGCTGCAAATGAAAATCCTGTGCTCTGGGTTTCTGTTTTTTGTTGTTGTTCCTTTGTGGTTGTTGTTTTTTTTATATGGCTTTATCTCTTATCAGCTCTGGCTCTCCCTTGTGGCCAGAAGACCCACTGCCTTTCATGGCTGGATGTTATGTGGGCCGCTGTTCTCAGCTTTGCTGCTCTGGGCTGGGGAGCCCAGCCTGGGGTTCAGGCCTCCATCCTCTCAGGGAAACCCCTTGCCCCTGACAGCTGATAAATCCCTTCTCACCCTCAGCCTGCTGACCTTGGACTAGGCCAGCCTCTCTTGTGACCCCACCATCCTACCAGGCTCCAGGTGGTTTCTGCCCTTCCTTGGTCTGCCTATACCTCCAAACTAATGTTTCATTTTTCTCCTATTCGTTGACAAAGCAAACATCTGAAATCAAGGCCAGTGAGCCTAGGGGACCCCTAGTGTCCTTGCCTGGATGCTCCCTTTCATCAGACAGTTCATCATAATTCCTGTCATTCTAGCTTTTGCCCCAATAACATTAAGATTTATAACACACTTTGTCTCCAGCAGGTTACAAACCCTACTTATACTTTGGAAATGCTGCCCCTTCCTGACTCTAGACACCATCACAACCTCCCTCCCAGGCCTCATCATCCTTCTGACAGAGAGCAAAGATCACTTGGCTCTGAAGGAAATCTCACCTCTCTTCAGCAGGAAGCAGCTGCAGAAAGGACCCTAAGCCCCTTTCCCTTAAATAATTCAGAGCCAAGAGTCCTTGAGGGAGAATGTAGTAGGCAGTTAGGCATGAGCAGAGCAAGGACGATAGGACAGGTACAGAAGGTCACCTGGGCCTAGTAACAGACAATTGTAGGGTGGGACCTTACCCCTAGGGTTACCTTTGCTCCCATAGCATATTGCAGTTTAGACCCCCCGACCTTTCATATTACTGGTCAAGTGGTTCAGACCCTCGCCTGGCCATGTGGTAGACCCCCTTAGAGAAGGAACAAAAGGACTGGAGAATAGCCTTATACAACCCCTGTACAAGCCCCTGTATGAACACTCCCTTAAGCATTAAGCCCTCGGGACAATATCTAGGCTTCCGTTGCATTTCAGCTCCAGGCCCAGAAAAGTAGCGAGGCCAGGCAAATAACCCCTTGCCCTGTCAGTGGTAACTATGATCCTGAGAGGACACCATGGAAACGTGATGAATATTCCATTGAGTTACTCCCCTGATGCTTCTCTCTGGAGCATGCCTGCAGCTTCCTCTCTCCTTCCCCTAGATGAGTATATCCTTGCTTTCTTCTTACTATGTTTTAAGGCAGCGGTTCTCAACCTGTAGGTCGTGACCCCTTTGGGGGTTGAACAACACTTTCACAGGGGTCATTCGAAAATACATCCTGCATATCAGATATTTACATTACGATTCATAACAGTAGCAAAATTACAGTTATGAAGTAGCAACGAAAATAATTTTATGGTTGGGGGGTCACCAAACAAGGAACTGTATTAAAGGGTCATGGCATTAGGAAGGTTGAAAACCACTGTTTTAAAGGCTCTACTTTTACCTCTGTAAATTGTTTCCTGAGCCCACACAGCCCAGAAAGGCTCACTTTTTATACCTCTGTAACATTCTTTTTTAAATATATTTTTATTGATTTCAGAGAGGAAGGAAGAGGGAGAGAGAGATAGAAACATCAACAATGAGAGAGAATCATTGACCGCTACCTCTTGCATGGCCCCCACCAGGGATCGAGCCCACAACCTGGGCATGTGCCCTTGACTGGAATCAAATCCAGGACCCTTCATTCCTCAAGCTGACACTCTATCCACTGAGCCAAACTGGCTAGGGCTACCTCTGTAACTTTCTAAATAAACTTTTGATTCTATTTGAGGAAGAAGAAGAAGAAGAAGAAGAAGAAGAAGAAGAAGAAGAAGAAGAAGAAGAAGAAGAAGGAGGAGGAAAGATTCAACTACCATATGACCATATGACTTGGCACTCATATTCCTGGGCACTTATCCCAGAAACACAAAAACGAATGTTCCCACAAAGATATTACATTAATGGTCATCACAGTCTTATTTATAATAGCCCCAATATACCCAGAAGTGGAAATGCTGGGTCATAAGGCAGTTACATTTTTTAATTTTTCAAGGAAGCTCCATACAGTTTTCCATAGTGACTGTATCAATTGGCATTTCCACCAAGGGTTCCCTTTTCTCTACATCCTCACCAACTGGTTGATTTATTGATGGTAGCCATTCTGACAGGTGTGAGGTGATATCTCATTATGGTTTTAATTTGCATTTCTCTGTTGATTAGAGATGTTGGGCATCTTTTCATATGTCTATTGGTCATCTGTATATCCATTTGGAGAAGTGTTTATTCAGGCCCTTTGCCATTTTTAGTTGGATCATTTAATTTTTGCGGGGGTGTTGATTTGTATGAATTGATGATTTTTCTTCTAGGAGTTTTATGGTTTCAAATCCTACATTAAGGTCTTTATTTTGAGTTAATTTCTTTTTTTCAAAATATGTTTTTATGGATTTTTTTCAGCGAGACAGGGAGAGAGAGAGGTGACAGAGAAACATCAATTGGTTGATGATGGGATTGAACCCACAACCTGTGTACATGCCCTGACCGGGAATTGACTTCTGGTGCATTGGATAACATAGAACCAACTGAGCCACACCAGCCAGGGCTGAGCTTATTCTTATGCACGGTGTAAGAAGGTAATCTAGTTTCATTCCTCTGCATGTATCTGTGCAATTTTCCCAACACCATTTATCGAACAGACTATCTTTACCCAATTGTATGTTCTCACCTCCTTTGTCAAATATTAATTCACTACGTAGTCGTGGGTTTACTGCTGAGCTCTCTATTCTGTTCCTTTGATCTAAGCGGCTCTTTTAATGCCAGTACCATGCTGTTTTTTAAAGTGACTTACAGTTTTTCCCCATCACCATTTATCCCCCCTTACCCTCTTCCACCTCCACCCACCCCCTCCACCCACAATCACCACACTGTTGTCAAGAATTCTTTCCCTTTTTTAAATTAATTTTTGCCGATCCCTTTATCCCACACCACACCCAAGAGCTGCCAGCCTGCTCTCTAGGAGTCTGTCTCTATTTTGTTTGTTAGTTTAGTTTATTCATTCGATTCCACATATGAGTGAAATCATATGGTACTTTTCTTTCTCTGGCTGGCAATGTTCTCCAGGACCATCCATGCTGCTGCGAAGCGCAAAATTTTCTTCTTTTTTAAGGTTGAGTCGTATTCCATTGTGTGAATATACCATAGCTGTTTTATCCATTCACTACTAATGGGTACTTGGGCTGCTTCCAGATTTTGGCTATATCTGCTTTTATGATGATGTCCTTATAGTGTTTTCACCATTAATTACAGGAAAAGGTGTTGTCATCTAAGAAAACAGAACAAACGACATGTGAATAAACTTAGCTTCTGTGGGTCAGGAAAACCTATGGGAGGGGAACACATAGGCTTTTGCAGGGGAAGAGATTTCCAGGCAAAAAATATAACAGGAGCAAAGGCCCTGAGACAAAGAGAAGCCCATCATAGAGTAGAACAGACAGAGGCATTGCGGCTGGGTGAGCGGAGGAGGGGCAAGTAAAAAGTTACATCCCTCAGGATGAGGACCTGCTGGGGTGAGGATAGTGAGCAACTCTTGAGAACTTGCTGGGTCCCGTGTCTGTTCTCAGCCCTTCATATGCATCCAACTTTTTCATCATCTCACCTACCCCATGAGTTTAGGAATTGCAGGGTCCCCACTGAAAATCAGCTGGGGAAATGAGGCACTTAGAGGCTATAGCAACTGGCCCAAATTCACCTGGACCACGCTGGCAGAATCTGACAGAGCTTGGATTTGAACCCAGGATTTGTTTGGGCCCAGAGTGAAGCCCTGACTCCTGTGCTGTCCTGCTCAGGGCCTGATACCAGCACAATAGCAGGCCTTGTCCCCCACAGTGACTTGGTCCTCTCTCTGACCCGACACTAATACTGTGCCTGCACCGAGCAGACCTCTGTACCCATTTGCTCACTGCATGACTTATTCGTCTCCAGTTTTCAGAGGGAAATGCAGGCTTACATTTGACAAGCCCGTGGTCACACAACCCTGCCAGGTTCCAAATCAGCTGCTGACCCTGCAGTGCTCTGCACCCAGCCTCCCACTGGGGCTTCCAGGTGCTCGTGACCAAGACACTCAGCAGGAAACAAACTGGCCCAGGAGTCTGCCTCTTACTCTGTTTCTCTCTCATTCACTCGCTCACACTTGGTATCCCTCTCCCTCTTTAATCACAGACATCAGGCCATCAAAAGAATGACAAGATGTGTTAGAAGCTGGGAGTGCAGAGCAGAGAACAAGAAACTAGCCCATCACCGTGAGGCAGAGGCTCTCTCCCTCCTCTCCTCTCCAGCCCCCCAGGGCAGCTTCCACCCTTCCCATTGGAGCTACAGGAAACATGAAGTTGCTCTGGGGCTGGGTTGTCTCCCCCCACAAGGAGGACTATCCACCTCCCCACCCTCACTCCTTGTCCCATTGATGAGAGAAGAACCCTGACCCAGAGGAGAGAGAGGACACTTAGACTGACTGAGGAGACACTGATCGCTGTGGGCAGGGGGGGCTTTAGGAGCAGAGAGAAGTTCCTGTGTAATCATTTCTCAGAAAATTACCACATGAAATCAGAAAGAACACATCTAACCTCACCAGCCTCTAGAACATGGTTTTATCATTTGAAAACCATACCACCCACCCATTTCTTCTCATATCCTAGGGTGCGTGCTTCTAGCCAGATGTTCCAAGTTTCCAGGAAGATGGCTGGGTTGTCCCTCATGAGCTGCAGATAATGAGAGAGACAGAGACAGCGCACTTTAGGAGAGATGCAGACATGAAGAGGGATGGGGAGGTGCAGGCCTCGGACCCCCACCCAGGAGGGCCCCAACCACCAGAGTCCATCCCTGCCTTAGCCCCTTGTCTTGTTGTCACCTGAGTGAGGCAGGGTCCTTACCTGGGACAGACTCTGGAGATGGGAGAGGTAGGGCACCGTGACTTCATCCCCAGAACCTTCAGTCTCACAACAAATCTCTTCTGGGGGCCAAACGACTCGGGACAGCAGAGCTCAAAGCAGGGCCAGAACGTGCAGTTGGGGCCACAGAGACGGGTCCGGTTCAGGGGCAGGATGGTGTCATCATCACAGCATTGCTCCAAGGGGTTGTACATCCGGTGCCCACATCTGGGTGATCGCTGGCACAGCCACAGGCCTGAGGTGATGTGGGCTCCTGGACAGAAATTGCTGGTGAGTCCTGGCTGGGGTAGCCCACACACCAAAGAGTCTCAGGTTAAATCCTGGTCAAGGGTGCATACCTGGGTTGCAGTTTGATCCTTGTCAGGTTCAAATCAGCCTGCTGACCTTACAGTGCTCTGCACCAAGCCTCCCACTCGGGGCTTCCAGATGTTCCAGTCAGGGTGGTTGTGGGAGGAAACCAATCAATGTATCTCTCTCACATTGATGTTTCTCTCTCTCTCTCTCTTTCTCTCTCTCTCTCCTATCTTTCCCTTCATCCCTCTCCTTCCCTTTCTCTAAAGATTAATGGAAAAATACCCTCGAGCAATGATGAACAACAACAACGAAAAGAAAATAGCTGGTGAGTTCAGGGAGGACCAGGCACTATCCTCAAACCCCAAATCAGGAGCCTTCTGTGAACCACAATCCTACTTCCCAAGGCAGCCTCGTCCCTCTTCATTCTTCCCCACCCTGCACTCACCTGTGTCTGCCTTTGACCAGTGGAGGAGGAGAACGATAAATATGCCGATGAAACCTGGAGGAGATGGGAGGAGGGTTAGGCTGAGGCTGGGGTTGTGGAACATAGGAAGGGCAGGCCAGTGTGGGGAAGGCTTAGTTCCCGATTTGCTCTGAAGGTTTGGGTTTGGGGTCATCTCTGCATAGTTTCTAGTTCCTGACACAGGCAGGAGTCCAGACAGCTGGGCCTGAGCAACCCGGACACTTTGAGGGGAGAGAATTCAGGGAGACTACACTTGACAGGTGAGGAAATGCAGGGTAAGCTCTAGGAAGAGTTAAGAGTTTAAAATTTGCAGGTCAGGAGAGAGATTGTGATAAAGTCACAAATAACATGGGTGTGACAAAGAGGCGGGAAGCCAGGAAGTGAATAGGAGAGAGAATTAAGTGTGAGGTTCAGAGGTACATGAGGGTGTGATAACACATACGCTAGAATTGGGGCTGGTGCCCTCTTACCAAAGACTCTGGGCACCATGGTTCTTGATGACCCTCCAGAGCAGTCAATGGCAGAGCAGCAGGAGGACTGGGTGTGGGACCGTATAGTCTGACTTGTAAACAGCAGTGGGCGGGGTTGCCAGGAAGGGAGGGACATGAAGAAACACCATTATATGGAAGAAAAAATGCACAAATTAACATGTTTCTGAACCAGTTCCAATGGACTTCTGCTTTCCAAGATACCGCAAAGCAGTATACATCAAATCAATAGAACTTGGTTTGAAGTTCTTTGAAAGAACATTGTTTAGAATGAGGCCGAAGGGAAATCATGTTTGAAAGAAACCCTTAGCATATCCCTCACTAAACGTGGCTTGTCCTACACTTACACTTCCCACATTTCTCAAATAATCCACTTCTGGACCTGCACTGTCTGCAATTCTTCAGAGGTTTTTTGTTTTTGTTTGTTTTTTTAAAAACATTTATTGTTGCAAGTATTACAGGTGCCCCGTTCCCCCCACCCCAGTCAGAGTGTCTGACCCTTGGTGGTCAGTGCGTGTCATAGCGACTGGTTGAGAGGTCACTTAGCATATTAGGCTTTTATATATATAGACTAGAGGCCCAGTACACAAAAATTTGTTCACTCGGGGGTGGGGGGTGTCCCTCAACCTGGCCTGTGCCCATTCACAGTCCAGGACCCCTTTGGGTATGTCCACCTGTTGACTTAGACCCACTCCCCAGGGGATCAGGCCTAAGCTTGCAGTCAGACATCCTTCTGGAGCCAGGGAGCCCTCAGGGGATGTCCGACTAAAGGCTTAGGCCCCCTGGGGAGTCGAAGCCTTGATCCCACACAGTAACCAGATCCAGGCATTGGGAATGCGGCCAGTTCTCTGCACCCTGAGTCGCACCACTGTTGCGTCCTCGGAGCAGTCATGGTGCCTTCTTCCATCACAGTCCCCTAAGCTCACAGCAATGGAGGTGTTCTGTCATAGGTTTGGGTGAACGGAACATGGAAGACCCCTGGGTGATAGCAGGCCCCAGGTGCTGGCTGGGGAGGTGGTCGTGTGGGTTTGCAAGAAGCGCTCACAGTCACAGCTTTGGAAGCCTCTTTCTTAGTTTCTCAGAGAGCTTGGTGGTGAGGAAATGCTGGTCTCATCCTGCGTCACAGTTTCCATGGGAAACCTTGCCATTGGGGGTGTCAGAGGGGTTGGCCAGGAACACCTGCAGCAGAGAGACACCCTTCTCCAGTAACTCCTTCACAGGCGGACTCGTCGCCAGATACCCGGGAACTGCTCAGCAGATCCCTGCTGTTCACAAAGTTCCCTGAGCAGCCGCCATCTTTCAAGGGAGGAAAGGTGTGTGCTTGTGTGCTCCACTGCCCAGCCCTGGCGGGTGGAGGCACCCCGGCCCTGGATGTGTTCTCCCACTGGGTTCACAGAGGGCGAACAATTGTTGTCCAGAATTTCCTTAACAAAGAAAGTTAAGTTCCCAGTGAGGCCCATGGTTAGAAAGGGCGGGGTTTTGGGAGAGGAGGAGGAGCTGAGCTGCCTCTTCCCCACCTGCTGGAAGGCATGGAGCCCCAAGCGTGACCTCCAGCCTGCTCACCTGCCCTGGGAGACTGCTTCCAGAGAGACCGGGAAGACCAGGCTCTGCTCCTGTATCCTGGTGAGTCTGAAAAACAGGAGGCAGAGCTGTGCTCTCACCTGGGCCTTGGGGCAGCGGCCTCCTGGTTCTCAGCAAAGACGGTGGCCCTGGGTTGGAACCACGTGTAGGAGCCGTTGGCACAGGTGCACCCCTGGGAGGCAGGTACAGCGGGCAAACCATCAACCTCGTTGCCCAGGCGACGACGCCAGCATCCTGCCTGGCCGTTATGGGTGCCACCATCTTTGTAGTGGAGTGACAGTTAATTTGCATATTCCCTCTTTATTAGATAGGATAATTAATGAATGAAAGAAATCAAATATAAGCTAAATAAACAGGGAAATGTTTACACTGTGACTTGGAAGATGCAGTATAAATATAGTTAAGATGTCAGTTTGTTACCAGATAGAGTCTGGGTCTAGGGCAGGTCTGCCTAGGACTCACCGGTAGTGTATGTGTTCTTGACTTCGTGTAGGAAAGATTTCACAACATGAGTCCATATGCCTTTTTAGAGTGTTTTTATTAAAACTGGATACAGTGAAACAAAAGGAGGGCTTAAGGCAGAAGAAGCAACAGGAGAGGAAAAGTCAGAGAAAAGGGGGCCTTGGAGACAGGTTCAGGGGATTAGTTCCAGGTTGAGCTGCCACTGCCCACCACTCCCCTGGTTGCACGTGTCGTGGGTCCTTTGGAGTTCAGAAGATGCATGCCTGTGGGGAAGAAGCTCAGGAGGGGAAAGTTGCTGGTGTGCTCTCAGGAGGGAGAGCGAGCCCTGGATCCTTTGTCTTAATGCTTTTTCTAAATTTCTTAATCCTCCCCCTGAGGATATTTTTTCCATTGATTTTTAGAGAGAGTGAAAGGGAGAGGAGCGGGGAGAGAGAGATAGAGATATAAATATCGGTGTGAGAAAGACACATGAATTGGTTGCCTCCCGAACTCACCCTGACTGGGGCTAGGGATCAAACCTGCAACCCGGGTATGTGCCTTTGATAGGAAATTGAACCCTCAACCCTTTGGTGTGCAGGGTGAGGCTCTAACCACTGAAAACACTGGCCAGGGCTGCCTTGTAGCTTTTTATCTTCCTTCAGCTGGTTGGAGTCTGAGACAGGTCTCTGGGGTGGTTCTTAACAGAATATCCATTATCTTTTCAGCTGTGCGCGCACACTCTTGGACATAATAATATTTTTACCCCAGAGAAACAAAACCTTATGGTCCCACATAAAAATTCTGTGAATGTTTATAGCAGTTTTATTGTAATAGCCCCAACTTGGAAACAACACTAATGTCCAACAACAGGTGAGTTGATAGACAGGTTGTAAAAATATCCTTAAAATGGACACTACTCAGCAATACAAACAAGGAACTATTGCTACACCCAATGAGTTGGACAGACGGCAAAGGCATTATGCCAGAAAGAAGCCAGTCTCAGAGAATACAGACAGAGTAATTCCATTCATGTAACATCTGGGCGAAACTGTAAAGATAGAGAACAGAAAGTGACACCCTGGAAACCTCATATACCAGTCCATTTGCGAAGTTAAATAAAATTCCCTCTGCTTTTGCAGGGCATTCTTCACTGCATAATTTATACTATGGATGTATTTGCTAGGCAGAATTGAGAAAATTAAGCCAAAAGAGATACATGAGTCAAAACTGTTGAAATGTGCAGCATGTGAGTGTTTGAGGCAGGAGTCAGGGCTGCAGGACGGTGAGTCCTCCCTCAGCTGTTCTCTGACTGCATTGTGCCTGGTTCTTGTACACAGTGAACATTGGCTCTCATCTTGCCTGCACCTCCCTGAGGGGTGAGCCCTTGGTGGGCCCCACTGGCGCTCTGATTACTCAGACCCAATTTAGAGGGCATCTTTTTTTGTTGTTGTTGAGTTGTAATTTTTTCTTTATTTTATTACTTTTTTTTAATAGTACGGAGAAACTTTATTTGAAAAGATTATTGGGGTGAGGGCCAGAGAGAGGCTTTTCCAATAGTGGGTCTTGAGACTGTTACAATAGAAAGACAAACATTAGTGTTTGTAAGTTCTGTGACCAGAGATATGCAAGTGTCTCCTCTCTATTGTATTTTTTTCTATTGTATTTTTTTAAAAAAATTTTTCTTTATTGATTTAAGGTATTACATATGTGCCCTTACCCTCCCCCACTGCCCCCCCCTTCGTGCCCTCACCCTCTGGTGTCTGCGTCCATTGGTTAGGCTTATATATGTGCATACAAATCCTTTGGTTGATCTCTCCCCATTACCCCCACCCTCCCCTACCTTCTCTCTGAGTTTTGAGCATCTGATTGATACTTCTCTGTCTCTGGATCTGTTTTTGTTCATCAGTTTGTGTTGTTCATTGTATTCCACAAATGAGTGAGATCATGTGATATTTATCTTTCTCCAACTGACTTATTTCACTTAGCATAATGCCCTCCAGTGCCATCCAAGCTGTTGCAAATGGCAGGATTTCCTTCCTTTTTATAGCAGCATAGTATTCCATTGTGTAGATATACCACAGTTTTTTTTATCCATCATCTGCTGATGGGCACTTAGGCTGTTTCCAAATCTTAGCTATGGTAAGTTGTGCTACTATGATCATAGGGGGTGCATATATCCTTTCTGATTGGTGTTTCTGGTTTCTTGGGATATATTCCTAGAAGTGGGATCACTGGGTCAAATCACTGGGAGTTCCATTTTTAACTTTTTGAGAAAATTCCATACTGTTCTCCACAGTGGCTGCACCAGTCTGCATTTCCACCAGCAATGCACAAGGGTTCCTTTTTCTCCACATCCTCACCAGCACATGTCATTTGTTGATTTGTTGATGACAGCAATTCTGACAGGTGTGAGATGGTACCTCATTGTCATTTTGATTTGCATCTCTGGAATGATTAGTGACTTTGAGCATGTTTTCATATGTCTCTTGGCCTTCCTTATGCCCGCTTTCAAAAAGTATCTATTTAGGTCTGTTGCCCATTTTTTGATTGGGTTATATTCTTTTTGTTAAGTTCTATGAGTTCCCTATAAATGTTGAAGATTAAACCCTTATTGGTGATAACATTGGCAATTATGTCCTCCCATGCAGTGGGCTTTCTTCTTGTTTTGTTGATGGTTTCCTTTGCTGTGCAAAAGCTTTTTATTTTGAGGTAGTCCCATTTGTTTATTTTCTCTTTAGTTTCCAATGCCCTAGGAGCAGTATCAGTGAAGAAATCGCTTCAGCATATGTCTGTGATTTTGCTGCCTGCGGGTTTCTCTAGTATTTTTATGGTTTCCTGTCTTATGTAATAGCCATTACAAATGGACTTAAAAGTCCTTTATCCATTTTGAGTTTATTTTTGTATATGGTGTAAGTTGGTGGTCTAGTTTAATTTTTTTGCTTGTATCTGTCCAATTTTCCCAACACCATTTATTGAAGA